TTGGGAAGCTCTGAAATTTTTCTTAGGTGTCTTCAGAGTAAAAACCCCAAATAAAAATCTTATTATTATTACAGTTAAATCATACATCCTCTGTAGCACTGTACATATACTTACATCAGTAAAATTATTTAAATTGTCTATGAAAAAGTATGCATTATACAGTGACCCAATTAAAAAAATAATGTTTACTATTTCTTTTAAATTATTTTCCACACCACCATTCAAATAAGGAGAATAAGGGCTTTGTGCCATGCCTATAAGGTTAACAAATGCTATTATGGCTGATCAGCAAAGGAAGTGAAGTTCAAAAGTTTACAGTGAACCATGAAGAGTCTTTCATAGAAACTTCTTTCAAAATTGTGAGGAATGTCACTTAAGTACTTCCACAGATCTCTAACATGATGGTACAGCATATGAAAAAAAAAAAAAACCCCAGCAAACCAGATATTTTTCAGATGAAACTCCCAGGCCATCATAGTATATTGCTTAAGTGACATGCTGTTGTCCACCAGGAGGGGGTTACCAAACCACCAGTTTGAGCTTTGTGGCACTTTAACTGGAAACTTATCCTTCCCTTCTACCCCCCACCCCATGGTAAATCAACAAGAAAAGCCAAGAGATGAATAAGCTGGGATGTCTGAATGGAATTTCCATTGATTATTCTCCTGGCAAAATGGAATCTATGGCAAGTTTCAACACAGATGGATTCAGCACCCATAACCACATTTCCTGTATATCTGGATAGATTGTGGGAATTCTGGAGCAGGCTAAGCCATCTAGACATGGACATGTCCTTTATTTCCAAGGTCCATTCCTCCTTCCTACGTTAATGCAATCTTCTCCATAATTTATTTCTGTTCCACGAACCAGACTCCATTAAGAAAAAGAGCACAGAGACTTCATGGATAGTTTTATACCAGTTCTTTGAGTGTTTGTTAAAGGATGATATTTGAATTACATCCATCTCACTCCCTCCTATGCACAGAATTCCAAATCCACAGGTTCCTTAAAGAATTGAGTCTCTTTACATCAGAAGTGGGTGATCTTTCCAGCACATGCAGCCCTCTAGAAAAACTATACAAAGGTCTCACAAGTTTTAAAGTTGCTCAGAGCACTGTTAAAATTACTTAAGACTTATTTATTACTAAGTAGCTTTAAACTTCAGTAGGTTTTGTTGTTTATCATCACAATTACTGAACCAACTAACTTCACATATTGAGATTTACTGTGACGCTTCCAGGACAACACTTAAACTGAGAACAAAGCAATTAGCTCTGGATCTAACACAGAATTATTTAATATATCAGACTAGCCTTTTCCTTTCGAAGAAAAATTACTGCCAAAAGGCACATCACCAGACTAGATCATTCTGGTTCCATGACTACATGTTATGAATGTATCCAGGAAAAGGACAATACATGCAGGCTGCATAATTTGGCACAGCTACTCTAAGAAAAAAACTTACTAAATGATAAAAGAAACTGAATCATTGGAAGTCATTAACTTGGGAAGTCATTTGAGGTTTCTAAGTACAGACTAGACAAACAAATATAAAAAATCACAAAAGTTATAGTTGATTCTCCCTCGGAATAGGAGTGTGTGATGTTTTGTACTGAGCATCCAAGAGGCTTTCCAGTTCTACAATTCTGTGTGATCAGTTTATCCTTCTTCTAGAGCTCCATTACTCCAATTTCTCGCGGTTGCATACTCTTCAACATCAGATATGCAGTCAATGGAATACAACTGAGTCTAGATCTTTTACTTTCCTACCTTACCACTGTGGGGATGAGAGACTTGGAAACATTTTAGTTTAAAAACTGAAGAGGGATTCTTTCCTCAAAGGCTGCAGATACTTGTTGGGAAACAGGACTATAGTCCTTATAGTTGTTCTCTGATCCTGGTCCAGAATGGAGGTTTTCTTCTTCATGATTCCTGCGCTGGACCTTTGCCTGTTTACCATGAGGGGTCTACCATGACAGATTTCTCAGGATTAAAATCTTCAGGACCCACAGCCTCATTCTTATCTTTGTTTGATTCATAATGACATTGTTGGCAAAATACAGAGACTGTAAATTTTATTTCTTTATCTTCTGTCTTCTCCCCACCCCCCCATGACTGAAGAAGGGAGGAAGCAGAGAAATACATACCTAGTAATGTTGTCAGAAAATACTAACTTGAGGATTTCTAGTCTTATTTCTTTAAATAGAAACTGTGCTAAGCATAATCAATCTCTGACACTGAAAAGGACATCAAAACACCCTCATAGATGAAAAGAAAAAAAAAAAAAAAAAAAAAACAGGAAAAAACCCCCCAGATTTCCACTCAATGGATTACTTTCATGGCTGGAAAGCCACAGATGCCAGATTTCTGTGGGCCAGCAGTTGGAGAAAAAAATTGCTGTGGGATCAGAACCTATGCTTACATTCCTTCTTCAGTTTGTATGTCCCATTAGAAAGCAGCTGAAAACTCATGGAAAACTGGAAAAAAACCCTCTTCCATTTAGAAACCATTTTACCTGTATATAAAATTGGACTTTTTCCTTTCTCTTTTGCAGCAAAATAGCTTTTGTTTTTCAAGTTTATATCTCCTTGGGTCCATTTATTTTCTATCCGTATGCATACCTCTGTAGACCCCTAATGCTTGAGGCAGTAGGCATATAAAGCTTTTTTTACTTAAGCATCAGTGCCAAAGTGTGCCTTGTGTTTAATTTTGCTTGCAGAAGTGTGTAACTTGCACTATTTTGTGTCAAGAAGACAACAATCTTATAGTTCCTGCAGGCTTTACCAGGATTCACAGGACGAAAGCTGGAAAAAGGTATCCAGATATTTTGGGGGGTTTTCGGTTTAGACACATTCATAACTGTGTCTAAAATATTATGTATTTTTTCTAACCAAAAATAATTCCTAAAACCAGAAAACAAGGAAAAAACCTCTACTTCGGTACAGTACAGTCAGTATCATGTTGGTTCTTGAATCATTTACACCATATGAAAACAGTTATATGAACACGTTTAGGCTATCGCACAGGAGTATAGCACATTAAAAGACTATAAATTCCATTTTGATTAGTTAGAGAATAATTTAGCCCTTTCTCTGGTAAGCAACAAGATTGGCATGATTAGTTATGACTTTTCTATTAAACTGTAAAATTAAAAGAAAAGAGATTTAGCTAAAATGATTGATCTGAAGTTAATTTGCCCACATTTAATCAAAACAGAAGCTACAGAAATTTTGTATCTATATTCCTCAACTATTACCACAAATTTAAATTTTACTAAAGCAATTCCCATTTTGCTGGTAAGGAGTATACGTGCAACTTTGATATTCACAGGCTAGTTAATATGCTTATGACTAGCTAGCATCTCTTCGTCTACCAAGAAAAACATAACATTATATTACTTAAGAAGGATTATACAGCCATACTTTCTCTCCTGTAGTTACCATGGATACACATACGATTACGGACACTCAGCAAAGCCGAAAGGTTTACAGTCGGTCAAACCCCTCTGAGCTCTAACTTGTAAAATTTCAGTACCAGAGTGGCGAGCAGCAGAATGCCTCATCATGGAGAAATTGTGGTGGTGTTTTGGAAGCTTTTATAAAATAAAGCATTTATGTAGGAGAATAAAGCATTCCCAATATTGGATGGTACAACAATAGTGAAGGCAGCTTTCATCTCTATTGATCTTTTAGGATAAAAATTTATTTTGCAGATTAAGGTACCTAAAACAAGTGTATACATATGAACTAGATATGTAGACTGCCACTATATATAATGGAGGTCTAGTCATTATAGTCGATACTATACAGAGAACTGTTCAGCTCACCCTTTAATCCATACCTATATTTGCCCAAATGAATAACTGAGTAGCTCTCTGGTTTCCACTAACCATATTGATAAGCTCTTCATTGACCAGACACTCAGCTCTCTGTAAGCATCTACACAGAAGTAACTGATTCAGGTACCCTATCTTTTGCTGAATCCAGAGCCAACTGGACTTCATTAGGTGTTCTCACTGATGACTATAATCAAGACTCAACCTACAAGTAGGGAATTGCAAATTCACTCCGCATTTTGAGTTTAGAAATTCCCTTTGTAAGGGGGTTAGGGGTGGGGGGTGGGTGATTTGTTGTGAGTGTGGTGTTTGGGTTTTTTTTTTAATTCAGAGCTCACTGAGAATTCAAGCCAAGATGAGGAAAAGGATAAGGAAAAACCTCAGTTTCACTGACTGCAATGGCACTGATCAGCAGCAAAAAGCTCTTCTGTCATCTTCTGCATTCTTTTGTATTTAAGTCACTTCTAGTACTGAAAAATCTAGAATGTAGGCCAGCACTAGAGAACCAAATCAAGGTCCCCTA